GTAGTATGTTTAAAAATGTTAAATAAATCTAGGTATGAAGTAGCCATTAAAGTGAATAATTAAAGATTTCTTGAATGCATAAGTTGACTGTTTTTGCACATTTGTTTTGTGTCTACCACCAAAAAAGTAGTTAAAACAATGCCAATGTTAATATATTTGGAAATACTTTGAATAGTTCAATAAGTTTAGAGTAAATTAAACAACGGTTAAATTATTTCAAATTTGTAAAAACCATTTTGAAATTAAGGGCAAGGGCTGGGCTGTTCCCGTTTTTCGGTTTGGGAAACTAGGTTTTCTGGCGATACGATATTACAATGGTGATACAAACAATATAGGTGCTAGTGATATTTCGAGATTTACATGTAAGATAGCCGCCCATAATTTTGATCCGATAGACTAGAGAGAAGCCAATTAGGTAACAGCACCTATTGCATATAACCTCGACAGTGTTATGGAAGAAAAAGATCATGGTGCTCTGTTTGATCAGTCTCTAAAGCTATCCAAGCAATGTGTTATTGGTAGTGGAAAGGCAAATAGAACACAATGTTGTATCTACAGAATAGTGAATACAAGTTGAAAGAGGTTATAATATTATTGTATATGTCAGCATTTCCCAAACCTTTTTGGCCACGGAACACCTTTCAGCTGAGAAAAAGCTTACAGAACACTAGACACGTGAAATATCGGTGTAGAGGGTATGTTGCACGCGCAGCGCCCTCTATATTTGTATATTATTCATTTATTTATTTAATCAAATTTCATATTAATGAATTTTTACATTTTTATGCTCATAATATATTTTAGGTACAAACGTCTCCACTAAGATACATTATTATGTAGAATAGATATGACATCTTCTATAATTCTTCTTTAATGTGAAATCGATATTATCTAATTCTAATACATAGGAAAATGTTTCATATTAAGTTATGGTCGTACAAAAAGTGTTAAATATTTTATTAACATTTAAAATCATGATTTTCTCACGGAGCACCTATCAATCTCGGACGGAACACCAGTGTTCCGCGGAACATAGTTTGGGCAACGCTGGTTAGGCCACATTTGGAGTACTGTAGTTTGGTCTCCTTACCTCAGAAAGGACATTGAACTGTTGGAAAGGGTCCAGAGGAGGGCTATTAAGATTATACCTGGGATGGAAGTATTATCTCTGAGGAAGAGTGAAATGAGATCTGATTGAGGTGTTTAAGATTGTTAGGGGAATTGATTGTGTTGATGCATTATCTTTTTTTCCCCATATTTGGTAAGAAGGGTAAGACTAGGGGACATAAGTATACATTTTGGCGGTGTCTTCAGCAAAGACAGTTTTGTTTTTCTAACAAAGTTGTAATGGATTGCATAGATGCAGTTAATTTAAGGGAAAGCTTGATAAATATTTGACTGATAAGGACTGACTTTGAGATTTCCGGATTTAGTGTATCGGACAGCCTATATGTATCAAGAGATCCCTTGTTGTCCTTTAATGCTGTTATTTTTTACTCTTGGGCCTATTCTAATTGAATAGTTGGATTTAACTATCTTGCTTGTACATTACATATTGTATGCTGGCTACCCTACACCACAAATAAGTTTAATACTATCACAATGACAAAACTTGCAGTTGGTATACGGATTCTCCAACTCATAACGCATTATTTTACGATTTAAATTTCACTTCAAATATATTTAATAGCGAAGAAAAAAAACACACCTGGAAATCGAAAACCGTATTTCAATAGATATGGATAAATATAAGCTCAAAAACACATTTTATCTATAACTTATATTGCAGAATGACGAAAGTTTCCAAAAGATGGCGTCACCTGCGAGCCGAAGGTGCTGTATGAAACTTATTTCAAAACACCGAACATTTCAAATTTAGATTTATAAATCCTGATCACCACTATTAAAGGCAAACACCGTACGTAGATATCTTGATCTGGAAAAAAATGTTTATTTTATACTTTACTTATAACAATAACTATATGTCCTAGTCCAAATCACTGTGGTCGAAGAAGGAATCTATTCTTTCTTTCGTCACTAGGTCGAGGTGGTAGTTCACGTGTCGTTGTGCCAACCCAAGTAAGCAAACACTAGAAAGGGAGTACGTCTTCTTTTAATTTTCTGTATCTTCAACCTGCTGTTTTACCATTTTCATAAAATTGTTAATCTCACTACGAGGATGTGTCGTCATTTGGAAGTCGAGTCTCAATTTTTGATTTACAGAAATAACCTAATTTCTGACATAAGTGTTGTGATGGTTTCTTTTGGAATGTTCTGTAAAAAGAAGAATGAAAAATCAATTTAGTAATAACCAAAGCGTTTTTTTTTTCGTCAACAACAAGTTAACTACACTGTTAGGTCTAACTTCACAGACAATTAATAATCACCTATTACGCATGCTCATTCTCGTATCTCAAGTAATTCTTCGAAAACACAAACTCAAAATTTACACATAGCTTTTGTACTTTTTTACTGACTGACTTAATAATACTCTGATGTGGCCTAACTCGCGTGTTATACTGCTCAAACCGTTTTAAAACTTTTAATAAAATTCCGTATGTTAAACCAAGAATTTATCACGCGTCGTCAAACCTTCCTCTGGCCCAACAATAATACTGTTACGACAGCGGAGGTGACGTGACGCTAGTAACACGTCATATTCTCGAAGCTTCGTGAATCCTCGGGAGGTTACTAGATGTACGGTATTCTTTTATATAAGACGGCTAAGAAGTGACGGCAACAATGTAATGTAATGTGTAATTGAACTGCGGACAGAGTATTGTTGAGTTGAGCACGTGAGACGCTCGTTGTGAATTATAGCGTTTGTTATAGCGCGACTGTGGAAATTAAGTGTATTG